ATTTGCTTAACAATGCTTTGTACTCGCTTAGTTATAATTAGTGTCAGATTAAGTGCTTTTGCTGTCCAAAGTATTCTAAATTTGTGGTACCCCTATCCATTCTCATTACCAAAAATCTAACACCGCAATAATGACATATGCAAGAAGGAGCTGGCTGTGACAATGAAAAAAACGGAAAAAAACCCAAAAATATTCGCATTTCCCAATAAAATCTTCACTGTTCATCAGTCAGACTTTGGAATGCACATTTTTCTAGCAACACAGTAGTGCTAGAAAAATCTGGTGTTAAAATAACAATAGGTATACCGTTGCAAATTTTGATATTAACTTAACTTTTTTCTAGTGCGAACCTGAGTATTTGTTACGTCAGTGCTCCACGTAGGGACTTTCGTCGTGGTGCCCCAGACACCTAAAGCTCTAAACGGTTGGTTAGTTAGGCTGGTGGGTAAATCCGGCACTGGTTATAAAACTGTAAGGAGACGGGACAAAGAGTTACGAGAGATATAAACAAAAGGTCGTCCAGGCCAGTATTGTCACTTCAACTGTTTCTGCTGCCAAACAGTAATGTGAGCATTACTGCGTTTCGGTTTTGAAGGGTAAGATGTTAGTGAAATTACAGGCACATGGACTTGTCAACTTAAGTCTCAGGCGCAGTGGGAGTGCCCTTCAGATTTAAAGCTCTAAGTGGCTCTGCAACTGTCATGGATAAGCATGTCGCTTACCATCGGGCACACGACTTGCTCGACCCGTCGCTTGTTATCACAAAAAAAGATGCTGGTCTATCTATCGGAACTATTATTACCTACTCTGAAAAATTATAGCAAAAAATGATTTTTAATTATGTGTAGAATATCATCGGTAGGTACCATATAATTAACCATATAATACAATTTTGTTTATATAATTATTATAGTAATCCCGCGAATCACACCTTTCACCGAAAATATTTAAATAAAATATTCCATACATTCCTTGGAATATTACTTAGGTAAAAATAATAATTTACCACTGTTGGTGCAACAAGGCCACATCTGCAAAATTAAAACTTTTCAAGTTAGAAGTGTGAAGATTCTATGAACGAATTGGTCGGTATACAGGGTGTAAATTTGAGACGGGGCAGCAAGGCCAGCTGCCTTAATCGTTGAAGTTACAGGAAAACGGTTCTAGAAGACTATCCATGAATTTTGAAGATATATTCATTGGCATTCTTATCATATAATTTGGTTTTACTTAATTCTTATTTGTAGACTAATTTATTAGTTTCCTTAACTACCTAGAATAACTGATGACTAGATATGTCCCTACAAAAAGTAAGGTAAAAAGTTTTTTGCGATTTCTGACATTTCGAGTACTCTTACCACAGTTGGTCCCATAGAGACTATTGATCCTTACCAGAGACCGGATCGAATGACATAAAAAAAAGTTTTGTATAAATTACCTTTTATCTTGTTGACTGTACCATTTTTTCAAAATCTGTGAATGCCAATGAATATATCTTCAAAATTCATGGATAGTCTTCTAGAACCGTTTTCCTGTAACTACAACGATTAAGGTAGCCGGCCTTGTTGCCCCGTCTCAAATTTACACGCTGTATATTTCATTTTTAAATAGGAGAGTTATAAAATTTCATAGAAATTATAGAGAAATAAAATGTATATAAATAAAACATTGCCATATTAGTGACAGCAAAACCACTTCTTGAAAAGTGAAATGAATGAGAAATAATTTTTTGAAACAGTTTTTCGACTGTGGTATAAAGTTCAATTTTTCGACATATACAAGATTACTGTCCAGTGCCGATAAAGACAGTCGCGAAATGTAAATTATCACAAATTCTATCTATGTGTATCCAGTTGACATGATTGCAAGCAATTTCTAATGATATCGATCAAATCAGCATTGTCTGTGCGTGCGACTCCCACGGTTTCCAGTCACGGGTAAGAACTAGCGATCTTGACAATGGAACCAATATCTAATACCTAGGTGTCAGACGCTATGCATTAGAGGAGAAAGCTTGGCGTTTACTACCTGTTGTAATTGATGATCAACCATTAATATTTAGGTTAATAAATTCAAACTCAAATGGTCTTTATTTAATAGGTTACCAAATTACACATTGATTATACTCTACTAGTCATTCGTAAGGTGAAACTTTAGGGGTTGATTTTTATAAATTAACATTTGTTTATCATTTACAATATTTATTTCAAGTGTCATAGATCGATGCAACTTGCGAGGACTAAACGGGACACTACTATCGATTTTTGTCAAACACCTTTTTGTTTTAAACCTTGTGAATGGCAAATCTTGAATATCATCTGGAATCTTATTATGGAAGCGTATATATTGGCTCTTAATGAATTTGTGACGACTGTCAAGAACAGCCAGCTTATTTTTATTCCTCGTATTAGTGTTATGTTTATCACTATTTTTCATAAAAAAAAATAGTACGTAACGATAATGTAAGAATGTTAAATTCTTTAAATTTCTCTATCAAAGACTCTCTTAGTCTGAGATTGTAAATTACACTTACAATTTTACAGGACAAAGATGCTATGCATAACCCAAAGCAAAATGTCGTATAAACAAGTTTAGTCGTGGCTTGAAAGTTCATTATCAATCAAAGCGGCATGGAAAGGGCTGGGTGTTACAGCAACCGTAAGTATTTCGTTATTTTGACAAGCGGTTTGGAGATGTCGGAATACTATTGGTTGCTGCAACAGTGAAGCGAAAAGCAAAGAGACTTATTAACAACAACTCTGTGGAGTCGGAACTACAAAGACTTGATCATCGCGGAAAAGTAGCCTGCTGTCCTTTTTTTCAATTTAATTACACCCTCACCGTTTCTCCTTCGGTCGACTAGAAGGTCCTGAACACTTCATCCTTGTCATTGATATACCATCCATTCGCACTAAGCACTTTGCTTCCTCCTTTCTGATGCGTACGGCAAAGAAATGAAATACTCTGTCTGTGTTTCCCGAAAAGTACAATTTTGGGCTATTCAAGGCAAAAGTGAATAGGCATTTTTAGGCAAACACGTACCGTCGTCGGTCACATCGTAGCTTAACATCAGGTGAGATTGTGGCCAAGCGTGTTTTTTCTATGTTTAAAAAAAAGTTCTCCGCGCGCGTTAGGTACTTCTCAATTTTTCTTCTAAAGTCTGACATGTTAGTTTTTAGACCTAGAAATGGATATTTCCTCTCTGTACATATTTGGCTTGCGGTTACGCAACAGACGCTAGGATGACGAGGTTTATTTTTCGGTAAGACGACTAAGTTGAAAACCGATGTTTTCTAATTTCGTTACTGTGAGTCCTCATTACTATGAGGACTACAGTAACGGAAGGGATGTACCTGGTTTTTCACAAGATTGTTGGTCAGTGTGTGAACTAAAAAAAATACTTATTGGCATTAATAACAATACATTCCACAAGTTTGCTTAATGCAATATTAGCTTGTCTGTCTTTTATGCGACGTTTTGTAAATTATAAAGTTCTGTGACGTCTAATACTTGAATCTCATTTCTTCTCATTTTCTCGCTGTCCAACTAAATAAATGCTTACGATTTATAAATAGGAACCAATCACGGGACTTATTACCTTTTGTATTCTATGGTTTAGTTGTGGTTAATACTTATACACTTTATTATACCTATCTCTTATACAAACTGATAAAGTTTTATTCAACAACACTACTCAATATTTTTTAGAGTTTAAAATATTGTTTTTTCTTTCCTACGTACATTTATGGGAATATTTAAGAATAAATAGATAAATAGAATATGAGCTATAATTAGGTTTTACGAAATGAAAGTGTTTTTGGAGAGAAACCAGTTGTATAAATGATTGATGAAGATTACGATTTTCTGATGAGTAAGTTTCCTTTTTGAATAATCCGTAGATCTGAATGGGCACAGATAGTCAGCCGCAGACTTTTTTCCCACCTTTAAAAAATTTCCATAGACACAAAATTTCAACCGCTACGTTAAATTTAATAGGCATCGAGTTAAAATCGAGTGACCCATAATTCGCTTTGGTCACGATCTACTTGTTGTTATAATTTAAATATTTATGCTGTATTATGATCACTGTCACTGCATTGATATAGTGATCTATGATTAGTGTTGGATCATGGGAAAATTTCCATATTTAAAAAATACTTTTCAGAAAAATCTTTCTTTTTTCCTTATTAAATTCTTCCAATACATTTCAAAAAAACACCAATTGCTTTTTCTGAAAACTTTTTGAAAACATTTTCATCGTTTGAACACTTGCGGTCAAATTATTCAACACTGTCTATGCTGCCCTGCTAAGCCGAAAGGCGCTATCTCTGAGTTACGCCTTTTTAGTTTTTTTTTATGCCATTCAATAGCTATAAAAATTTCGCATCTAATGGTGTAATAGAAATAGCGCTATCTAACTTAAAACATTTAAAAAACCACTAAGAAGTATTTTTAAATACAATACAATTACATAAAATGCAATTTACAAGAAGTCGATTTTCTCAAAACTTACTCCGATTGAGATAGCGCTTTTCGGCTTATCAGGGCAGTATGATCGTTCGAAAGTACCTAATGTCGACAATGTTAGTACGTGCACAAGTAGCGATGTTTCAATTAGCTAATCCTCTTAACCATTTTGTTGAATGGTTTTTAATCTATTAAATAATAATGAATGGGAATTGTTGTTAGACAAAAATATTTTACATTTTCCATCAATGTTTCCGATGAAAATCCATCTTTTGCGTCCACTGTTGTTTGGCAATTGACTTTGTCCCATAGCTAATTTGTTTTTAAGTGATTAATTAATTTCCAAGAGCCACTTATAACAAGTTGTTTGCAAGTCTTAATCATAATGAAAGTTAGTAAAGGATAAAGTATAAAGTGTAGTTACTATCTTTGAAAAAAGCAAAAATTGTGTAAAAAAAATAATAGATAAATTGGAACAATTTCTACATTGTCGTTATTTAGTATAAAATATCTTTATTACCCATATATATTACCTCAATTTTTATCCCGTTAACACTATTCAAAGTCAATAGATAAAATAGAAATAGTTCAATTCCGAATTCAGAGTTCAAAACGGTTCGATATTTTGAATGAGTCACTGCACTTCCGTTTTTGCGCGCGTCAGGCGTTTCGCTTTCGTGCGGCACAGGTGCGCGGTCGAGCGCGGGTCACGGGCTACGAGTGACTGGCAGTGTTTGGTACGGTTACCCTATCCCCACGTACTGTGCACTATCCCCTACGGGAGAAGTTTAATATTTTAACAATTCCATTGTAAACCAAGGTTGCATGTCACTCATTTCCAACATATAACGAATGTTACTTTAGTTTATCCATAATTATGATTATTAGTCATGGCTTCTACGTTTACACTCTCTCCTGAGTATAGGATACTAGAACACCCGTATTGATCACCCTAGTGGCTCAACAGTTTGTACTCTGGGCACTGGATTTGGAGGTCCCGCGTTCGATCCCCGGTAGGACCTAATTGGGAAATGAAATTTTCAAAATTGATTCTACTCTGTGTGTTCTGGAAAGAGCCCCAGAGCGAATTGTAAATTCCGTGGCTCTGGTACTCATTATACAGGGAATAAAAGGCATTTGATGTGGTTGTCTGGAAAATTATGCAAATTCATAACATACTAAAAAAACTATTCTCGTTTTGTACTTGTAAAATTAGGTACACTTACTAAAAGGTTTTATTATGTATTGGAATAGGTATAGTCGCCGTCCATTTATGTGCCTTTCTTGAATCTTTTATAGCACACCTCAACGATTTCTAATAAAAGAATCGTTCAGTGTTCTCAAAAATTCGTAGTTGGATTCGGGTTTGAATGATACTTTGTAGACACGATTTAGAAACAAAAGTTTTACGTCGTGGTTTGTCAGTTTCCTAATTACGTCATTTACCTGGTTTCAAAATTATGCGGGTTCAAAAACCCGTCATCCTCGATTGAAAAAAGCCATTTCTTTTTTGCATTAAAAAAAAATTGTATATATTGTTTTCCCTTAAAGTGTTGTTTATAATATCGTTCACATAATTTGAATAAAAAATCAAAGTACAAAAGTTTACAATTACATGCCCATACGTTTCCGAAAGAGTACTATCTCACATTTCGTACGCGTTCTCGAATTATTATAGACAGTATGTTTAGGAAGGCTATAACCCACTACATTGAAAACACGAGTTGAATGTACAACTTAATTTCCCATCAAATCTACTATCGTTGGAGATGCAACAGAGCACGAAAGGCCCTCTCGCGGTACCGGTTGGCTGACCACGACCGACCATAAGCCACCAGCATATTGAGAATGAAAGCATGTCGTTACAGCTTCGTCTACCAGTTACACAAAATAATTAAAACTAGAAAAGCCGACCAACTCAATTCAAAAATAGGTGAACATGACTTGAACCTTTAAATAGATATTACATTCCGTTCTGTTGAAGTTTCTCTTTCGATGCAGTCTCTGCAAAATTTACCGATTGGTCTCGATCAATCGTTGCGTCTTATTTATCATCATTTTTTGTCTTTTTAACTCGTTTTGACAACGTTATGACGACGATGATGTTTTAGTCTGACGACTGACGGTGTGATATCCCCACCCCACCTTGTGGGTGGTTTGTCCCTCCATCGACAATCTGTTGTGCGAGTAATGTGCCCCCCATTGCAATTTACATTTTACAATCCTTTGGACTACGTCGACTATTGGTTCTTTTGCAGTCATACTTATTTCTCAATTTTAGATTATTAGGTTTTTTCGTCATTCAATTAACGAATCGCACTCTTGTATGATATCGTCCCTATGTAAACTGCCTTAACTGGCACTTTACCACTTTACTCTACAACGACGATTAGTATGAAATGTTCGCTTTTGAAAGCTGATTAAAATAGTACGTCTTATTTAATTACGATAAAAATTTCATATACGTCATTCAGTGTGTTCGTCGTCGGATATAACCGATGCTATACCGTCCTTTAGAATAGTTACGGAAGTAACTTACAATTTTGTGGAAAATGCATTATTTACATAACAAAATAGAACATTTCAACATTCTGAATTGAATTGTGCAAGGGATTTTTTCCGCCGAAATTTTAAGTTACGTTTATTCATGCTAAACGGGACGATTTTCACGATATGTTTTAGACCATTGACTTAAAGCGAAAGTGACAACGCTAAAATAGACCTTGATGGTGACGAAGGAAATTTTATCTGAAGAATTTGAGACCTGTCTTGCCAATTCTGGTCTGGTTTAGATTTCAAGGTTGATTTACACTCTACTACGTTTATTTATGTTTTTGTTTATTATGCAGATAGATGGAGTAACACATACGGCATGGTAGCCAAGGAATGGTTACAAAAAAACATAGGACGTCCTATAGTGAGATAGATGGACGACGTCGTTAAAGTTGCGGACCGTAGACGAATGAGACTAGCGCAGGGTTGTGTTGGATGGCACAAACATCGGGAGGCCTTTATCTTTATGATGATGATGATGTTTTTGTACTGATAATGACAACAGCAATAACTATTTTCCGGCAAAATTGTAACTTACGTAAATTCCTGCTAAATAGGACGGTAAAGTTAGTTATGAACCTATTAGTTCTTCTTTAAATTTTTGATGAAATGCACCAAAAATGTTGCCGCTACACTGTTTATTTTTAAATTGGGCGCAGAGGGGCGTAACAGAGCACGGTGGTGCGTTGACCGTGACCGCTAACCATATGCCACGAGACGTTACATTAAAATGTAGCGTTATCACTGCCCACCGTGTCACGCTTGCATTATTTAGTTAGCAAATGCTAAAATTTTTTTTTAAATCCTTCATTTGTCTATAAACTATCAAGAATACTTATTCGTATAATTTATAACTGCCTCCGTGGTCGAACGGTTACCATAGTGTTCTGCCACGCGTAGGTTCCGTGTTCGATTCCTGAGTCGGGAGAAATGTTTATATGGCCTACATTTATCTCTCGGGAGTTTGGGTGTAATTTGTGGTTGTCTACATAAACGCGATATAGGGTTTCCCTAGTGCGGGGCTATGAGTGTGTGCGTTATTATTATTATTATTCTTATTCGGGAGTATGATCACAATAATTCGCACCATTAATAATAATAATAGTTAGCCTATATAAAGTCCCACTGCTTGGCATAGGTCTCCTCTCACTGTAGTTCGGGATTGGAAACGAAAGTGTAACGGATTGGAAACTTCACATACATGGTTAAATTGCTATGCAGATGTGTGCAGGTTTCCTCACGATGTAGTCCTTCACCGAAAAGCACATAAATTCCGAAATATTCAGAGGTGCAAGGCTGTATTCAAACCCGCAAACCTCTGCTTGAGAGGGGTAGGACAAACCATTAGGCCATAGTTTCCCAAAGTGGTTCTTTCTGTTATTTTTTGTGGTGGTTGAGTTCAAATGTTTTTATCTTGCCCACTTAGACAAGATAAAAAAATGATGAGATGAGCCAAAAAGTTTGAGAACCTATGCGTTAGGCTACGATGGCTTTTTTAACGGATTAATAATAAAATAAAGCAATTCCTGAACATTTTTACGAAACTAGTACAAAACATTTTTAAATCTATTTTAATAGTTTCCTAAAAATTACTATTTCTAAAAATTACTTAACTTTAACACTGAGGGTGCAAATTGTGTACATCCATACATAGCTTCATGCCTAGATCATACTGGGGTAGTGAAACACCATTAACCTCCACTCGCCACGTTCTTGCCAAACCTCTTTCGCCTCCTCCACTCGCATCTGTCTCTTCAAATACTCCCATTTATTATTTGTACTTGACCTCTTTTTGTGTTATGATTTCTGTGTTGTGATTTTTTGTGTTCAGTTGATATAAAAAATACATGTTTTCAATTATTTTTTGTGGTGGTCACCAAAAAGTTTGGGAGTAAAGAAATCGGGGTTCATTTTGACAAATGTAGAGATTTCGAGTACCTATAGGAAAAGTGAACTTAAAAAGTACATGTCTACCCTTACATACATATATGTAAGTTTGTATCTATTTATAGAAAATTTTATGATGCATTTATTAAACTCATGATTGGTTTCTGCATCAAATGCATCGCTTAACAAAAAATACAGAAGCTGATAACGTAATGTCGTAATAGTATGGTGTTACGGATCGATAGACTCCTGTATGCGGGTAGTCATAACGTAACGAGATGCTTTGTTAAGCAGGCCGATAGTGCTAGATAGCGTTAAATGGTGCGGATAGCTACTACAGGTTTAGTTTGGTGAACTTAGTAGTTTTATCAGTAAATGTGAGTATTACTACGTTCCGGTTTGTAAGGGTGCTGGTGAAATTACAGGCACAGTGTCTCTAAAATCTTTGCGATTCAAAGTTCTGAGTGGCAATGGCACTGCAAATGTAACCGCGTTTTGCTCACTGCATCCGAGTCATATTTGTTCCGAATCCGAGACTGTACAAATCTAGAAAACTCGGACCCTCTTCGGATGTCGTTTGTGCACTAAGTCCGATTCCAATCCGAAAAAATACGAATATCGCTTGTACGTTGTAAAGGTTCTTATGGACAGGCATGTCGCTTACCAACCGGCGCATAACTTGTTCGTCCCGTTGATTGGTATTATAAAAAAAGTTATTATTTAAGTTGGTCTTTTTACCCGCGTAATCATTACCCTGTTTGCATGGCCGGCATTTCATTTTTGAGGCCTTAATTTATAGTAATATACATAAATAAATAAATAACGCACACACTCAACATAGCCCCGCACTAGGGAAACCCTGTGTCGCGGGTACCATGGACACACACATAGACAACCACAAATTACACCCAAACTCACGAGAGAAATAAATGTAAGCCATACAAACATTTCTCCCGGCCCGGGAATCGAACCTGGGACCTCTGCGTGGCAGTCCGGCATGGTAACCGTTCGGCCACGGAGGCAGTTTAATATACGTGTGGAGTCAACTAACTATTTACTTGTGTCTCCAGTGTGGTATCTGTCTGGTATGATTATCTTTATTATGATTATGATTATATTATATGAGGAGGACTTGCTTTATTTGCTGAAACTTAAATTACAATTTAAAACAAACATTTGCCCATGGTTGCTGAAGTTCCCCAGCCAAATGATTACTGTCGCAAATACCATATGCTCTCTAAAACAAACATTTGCCCACTTTAGCTAACTGGCTATTCGTTCCTGAGTTCATACTTTTTGCTTAGATTTTTCAGACTTAATCTCGTAAGAACCAGCAACAAAGAGGAAACCGATAAACATCCAATGTGCATTAAAATGTGCTGAATATAATTACACGCTTCAGGCCCAAGAAAGCTACCCTTGGTTGAGTATGACAAACGCAACCAGGGTTTTATATAAAGTATTTTTTCTAGATACCCTATGATCAATAGAATATATAGAGCTAAGTTTTGATGTTTTCATTATAATGTACCCTGTCCCCTATTCCCTTCGATTTTTCCTTTTAAAATGATCTTAAAGAAGTCGTCGTGTCGTGCCAATGTCCAATCATTTTCCCGCGTCTATTCTCTATAGTATTCAGGATCGTTCTCTTCTTGTTTTCCATTCTCGACACTTCCTGAATGTATATTATTATTTTCATATATTTCTGTATACCTACTCATGTATTATATACCCATATATGTATATTATATTATAATAAAGGTATAGATTGAAATAAAAAAAACAATAATAATGTCCCCTTTAGGGTTCACCCCCGTCCCACATAATCCCGGCTCTGCCCCCGCGGGACCGGGGTACTTGTAAGCAGATTCCTCCGAATAAAAAAAGTGGCGTTTCGTGGTCTATGCTTACCCCTCCTGTTTGGACTAGGGCGTGAACTTATGCATGTAATTTTAGATAAATGTAGAGCTGTAAGTATTGCAAAATATTTTAAAGCTTTACATGTTAAGCTTTAGATTGTAAGGACAAGTAGAAATTAAACAAAAAATGAAATGATAATTGTTTTTATTAATATTATAGTTATCTACCTATAATATCGTACAATCTGTTTATGACTGACGTATTCACAGTAACTTCAAGGCGGTTTTATACTGAAAAGACGTGGAAGTACACGCGTCACGTGAGGGTTCATTGATTTCTAAAGGGATTAAGTTAGTTTAGACATTCACCATCGTAATATAATTAGGAAATATATTTCTGTGATATTCCTTGGTACTTACGAGGTTTTTACCCCTTTTTTGTTATATGTCTAAACAAATTGACATGCCTCACGTCTCTTCTGCATAAATAACGCCTGACGGCCCAGATTTAAGGCAAGACTAGCAAGCGAGCACTCTCTATACAAACATATATTTTGAGCACCATTAAAATAATTCACTTAACAATAATATCGTCCTGTGAGTTGGGAAGGCTTATATTCATTTACATACTGACAAACTATAATTCAGATCTTGATATGAAATTTCTAACGTTTCATCTCATAATGAAAACTTAAGTACAACATGCTCAAACCAAAATGTTGGTACAGTCACGGAAAACGAATGTTTACAGTTTCACATGCAAAATTTATTTATATTGTTCATTACTTTAAAATATTGTTGAATTTTGCTCAGAATAGGATTAAAGAAAATTCAAAACCATGAGCCCAACCTATTTGCACTTACGATACAGTACCATGCATTTACTATTATGTAGATTTTGTCTACTTCATCTAGAATTTATGTTACATAATTAATCTAACACAAATCCATCACAATATTTTTAGAATATCAGTTATTCGCTTCGTTCAGGGTAATTTAATGTGTAGGATCATATTATTATATTTTCTACATATCGCTTAAGTATATAATCAAATGCTGTTTTAATCAATAGAACATAGTTATCTGAACATTTTGTAAATTTTCGCAAACTTTTTGAACTTAATAGAGTAAAACAGCACTTCGAAAATTTTCTTAAAACTATTATATTCAATAGTAAAATAGATTTGAGTTGATTTGTCGATAAAATCTTTAAATTTCACAACAGATACATAGCTATATAATGAAACTAACCGTCAACTGTGTATATTTAAGTTAATTATAAGAAGTATATTAATATATTTATATTATCAATACATATCATGATTCACAATTAAATATTTATCTATCAATCAAAGAGTATGTGTGATAAATGTATGTATTTAAATTTAGGTTTGACTAGAATTTATAATCAGTACCTTATTAGGAAGAATAGCTTGTCATAGACATCATAAAATAACAGTATTTTTTATTAATTTTATCTTAAGAATGTATTTAGGAATAAAATAGATACGATAGGCCTTTTAGTTACATTGAGAAAGATGATTTTTCTTTATGCCATACAGGTATGGATCGGTTATATTTCAATATTTAAAATGTTCTGTGCAATGTGCTATCTTAAAATTTAATTTTAAATTTATAATCTACTTTAATAGTGTTATTCGCAACAATATGAGTCAAGTCATTAAAATACACACAAATGAGATCTTTCAACTGTGTCCTACACAAGAATTTCCTGCTTACCATCATTTTTGCTCCTATTTACTATCGTACAGTGAATTAGACGACATAATGTCTTTTAATTACACTATTTACACAAGTTTAAACCCGGAATGCTCTTTTTTAAATTTTTTTCATTGATCGATTGCTGTGTTCATACAAATTATTGTGCTACAGATGTGATATTAATTATAGTCGTTTTTATTAGCACCGCACCCAGAAAATCTGTTAAAAAATTTATTCACGTACACACCATAAAATAACATGGGTATCTTTTAATGAAGAAGTAGATAAGTACATAAAATTATCTGTTATTTATAATTTGAAACATAACGCACACACTCATATAAGTGTGTTTGTTATAAAATTTGAAATAGACATATCTCATATTTAATGTCAGACAAAAAGTCATAAACATCTCTACAGCCACTATATTAAAAATGTGTGCTACAACTTTTTACATAGATTGTACTTACCAACGTATTTTACAAACTAATGTAAGTGCCCTTTTAATTTCTGCTTTTTCGTTGCGCTAAGGTTGGTCAGCTATTTATTAATGGACTATAATAATGATGAATTAACCCAGTTTTAGCCATACATGTCTACTAAATTGTTAAAAGGTACATTTAACGAACGGTAAACTATTACAACTCCCGACAACTTTGACGCCATTTTATGAACCATCAAACTGAATCTACATATTTTAAATACCTTAAACAAATGTTATATAGGTGTTATATAACAGCTCACGATAATAAGATTTTAAGGAGTCTTTATAATGTAGTTTCTGTTTAGGATTTCGTTTCATTATATTTCACTATTTAACTCATAAAGATTTACATTATTTTACTTGCTACATCTTTCACAGATTTCCTCTGAAATCGCTACCCGCTACTCCATTTTCTATTATTGCGAAAACTATAATGTAGCTAGCAGATTTCACTATCATATATTTTGCTTTCATTCAGACTTGTTTCTTTGTTCCTTTGAAACGTTGTTCTTTTTATTGTTTCAGAATTTTTATTTTACTAAGAAATTTATTAATCTTAAAAAATATTCCAAAACCACCTCGAAACATTTTCGACAAAGAATAAGCATTTGACACGCACGACAGTGTTTCCCGTTATGTATACATATAGTGTATTCCATTATAGCTATATGCCTTTAATTAGAGACAATTCGATTTCTCAGTTATATACACAGATCTTTATCTTAATTCACAAAAAATATTTAATGGGTCTGAGTCTCTTTCTACACACATTCAAACCTAGGGTGTATGACGTGCAACTTAGGTGCATTATGTACTCCGGCAGAATTTTTATGGCGGCCATATTATGTAGACCCCGTTTTCTGTTATATTATCTTACTTAATTTTTTGACATATACGGTTTCTGATCTTGTTTTTTTTCACTGAGGGTTGGGGGTCGGAGCACTGTGATGCAAATAGAGCCTCGCAGGATTCGTAGGAGATCAATCACTTCTGGTGTCTTCATCGACGTCACGTTCTCGTCGTTAACCTAATAATACAATTTTTTTTTAAATATTTAAAAAAAAAAATTTATTTAGTATATAACCAGAAATAGAGATGAAATAAGGGCCATTGTTCCCTGGCAATTCATCAGGCAAATGGGCCTTAGATCACTTTCAAATATTAAGTCTCGTTTGCGCTGAAATCACAAATTAGAAAGCTGAATTAGTACAGCGCCAATAACTGACCTGTGTATACGTCTATATATTATTCCAAAAATATTCTGTATTTATTGTAATAAAGATAATATTTCTACAATGGGGGCTATTCCATTCGGTGGTGTAAAAACAGCAAAACATCTAATTACTAAACAAACGGAATCACATTTCATCGGTAATTGAATATTAAATATGTAATTTTTAAATTTTAGCAAATTTAATTATAGGAAAGCTCAAGAAAAACTAGACATTTGAAGTGAAACAATTCACGACACCCATCAATTGTTTCGAATTCGGGCTGGGCAATCCGAGCGCAGTTGTTACCGTAATGATTTGGCAGAATAGTTTTTAAACAAATTAAATGACATTTCGACTCCATTTCTGGTTATATACTCGATGCACAAATTACAAAGTCAGAAATACGTTTATCAATAACACTCGCGTAGTATCGATATCAATCCTAAAGCTGTCCCCTCGATTATAACGATTACAAAAGTACTTCGTTCGGGCAGGCTCGCTTGTGTTTTTATGTTCGCCTGCTGTCGCCACCTTTCTGTCGTTCAGGATATTGTTTTCTCAATTAGTGGAATTTATTTTCTAATTTCGCAATTAGTGGAATTTATTTAATAATAAAATAATTTTGATTAATTGGGGCTCCGCTGGCTCCATTGCTGTGTCGTGCGGGGCCATGCCCCCTCTGCACCCCTCACATTACGCCACTGATTAAAGTTAGTATAATCAGTGTAAACAGATGTATGAATATGAATACTATCAAGATAAGAAAGAGGGGAAGAGGCTCGGAGATTGAAGAGATTTGTGAGAATTACATTTTCTAAATTGGGTAATTCCGAGTTGATTCATTGACCGAAATCCAAAAATTTTGCTTCTTGTGGAACAATTTTGCTTCTTTTAGTAGCAGCACAGTTCCTTGTGAAAGAGTTCGTCCAGGGAAGTACTGCCACCTTACCTAATTCTGCCGACAAGCAGTAATGTGAGCATTACTGCGTTCCCGTTTTGAAAGGTAAAGGTGCTGGTGAAATTACAGGCACATGGGACTTGTCAACTTATGTCTCATAGTGACAGGCGCAGTGGCAATGCCCCTCATGTCTGCGATTTAAAGCTCTAAGTGGCACTGCAACTGTTAAGGTTAGGCGTGTCGCTTACAATCAGGCGCACGACTTGTTCGTCCCGTCACTTGATACTATGTAAAAAACAAATAGTTCATGTTAGTTATTAATTCGTCAATATTTACCTGCAAAATGACATCACCGCGCCGCAGTCTTCCGTCTCTTGCAGCGACGCTGTCATTGTACACAGCTGAGATGTAGCTCTGACCGGAGTCCGGGTGGCTCTGAACACTAAAACCCAGTCTGCTGTTCCATCCCCGGTTCAATTCCACTGTCACAATCTGAAAATGAATTATAAATAATCTAGTAAACTTACAAGTCGTAAAACATTACGTTAACATTAGCTCGGTGAAATTGATTGACTCAGTCTTCCGTATTCGACGTTGGCATTCGGTCTGGGTGTTCTGGGTACTGCCCCAGAGTTAATTTCTTTACTCTAATGCTTATAGAACAAACTTAGTTTGAGGACAGATAATCGGTATGGTCGAATGGTACATTTATTATTATTATTAAACCATTGTTGATTAGAAGTATTTCACACTATTTAGATTTTAGACTTTCGTGGCAGCAAATCTCTTGTTACGTCTACTTGATACAAATTTCCTACCACTTTTTGACTTTATATATTATTTGTCCGATAAATCGGAATGGTTACAGTTCTCTTAATAAAGTTTTCTTTCACATTTTATATATTTTTATTGTTATCTTATTTATCTTATTGTTTTAAGTTACATATTTGAAAATAATAATAATATTTGATATCGACAGGCAGATAATATAAATCAATTTAAGTACCAACAACTGTGCCGAAACAGCTATTTTGTTTTCGTTTATTGGTTAATGGTTAAAGTCAACAAGTAAAGTTAACGCCTTTATCCGCGATTGAGCCACAAATAACAAGATACACATTTAGTGCTGCCGTGCTATTGTCAGGGCACTTGAATTGAAAATTATGTTTAGTTGCCTGAAACGTGAAATTTTTGTGTGCAAGTTACAATTTTACAAGTTCGTTTTTTTAATCAGAAATTGTAACTGTGAAAGACATACTAAAATACATAAAAGATATTATGACATAAGATAAAACCTAAAAAATACCCTAGAAATCCAAGGAACAAAATCTCAAGGAACATCAAACTATAACCAGATAGAGATGATCGAAAGTTACGAAAAATGTAAGAAATATAACCATCTGGCAACACTACACAATTTTCATTCACTATCATTGTCATGTTGTATGCAAAGTTACAAAACAGCTTACAATAACAGTTATTGAAAAATCCCTTAGCAGTATAATTTATTATTGACAAATAGCCGTTTGCCATGTCCAGTCATAGTGTTACGTGTGAACGACGTGAATACGTGATTCATTCTTATTTAACTAGCTTATTGAAAAATATGAATATTACTGCATTATTTACTAAGCTACCGAAAACTAGTAGTTGTACCAATCAAAATACGAAAACAACAAATGGAATATACTGCGTCAGTGGCCGAAGGGTTACCATCCTGGACTGATACACAAGAGGTCCCGGGTCCGATTCTCGTGCCGGGAGAAATATTTGTATGGCCTACATTTATTTCTCTAATGAGTTCGGGTGTAATTTGTGGTTGTCTATGTTGTATGTGTCCATTAGGGTGTTTCATTTTTCCAAAGATGTGATTTTCATATGGCTTTGCTTACGCCCCGGGTCGCAGTGTTGTATAAAATATATATGCAGAATTTCAAGACAATTAGATAATATTAAGGGTTGGATACTTTGATCACTTTTATTTCATACTAGTGAAATTTCGAATATTGAAGTGCTTTCCACTAATGAGTTTTTCATGTATTTCTTTAATTTTTTGTAGTTAATTGTGGTTAAGAAATTGGGAACCATAGTAGGAATTTGGCTACAAGAAAAAGGTACCTTGTAGTATTTAGGATCTCGGACTCCTCAAAGGAATAGGATTGGACAACATCAAACAACATCACATACGTCGCTCTGATCCCAAAGTAGGTAACTAAAGCACTTATGTTATGGAAATTGGAAACTATAACGTTGCCACAAACACCCAGAACCGAGACAATATAGAAAAGTTAGTTTTTCTCATTGATCCGGTCATGGATCTTACCCGGTACCTCCGATATGGCGACACGGTAACCATCCAAGAGAATACTACTGAGAGTTATTACAACTCTTTGCCTAACAAAATGAAACACGCTAGTGTCCATGGCACCCGCGATACAGGGTGTCCCTAGTACTGGTTTACGAGTGCGTGCGCGTTATTATTATTACTAAAACAATACTCTGAAACGGTCCGAAAAAATTTACCGGCGTAATACTACGTAATAAGACTGTGACGACGCTGACCTTCATCGTCATCCCATCGTTTTATCACCTTCTTTACTGATTCCTGGCCACTTATTATCGCTGCTTTTCAAGAACAGTGGCTCAATACAAAGTAGTTCCTTTTTTGACCTATTACTGAGATTTGTTCGAAACACGCAAAATTTTATTGAGAATGGGATACCGAGTTTTTTATTGGTTAATATAATTACATGCCAAAGTTGGGACAGTTTACGATAATCAATATTGCGCGACAGACACGTCTCAGTTTTTTTATATCATCTTCCTGTAGAATTAGATGCTTTAATTCTAAGATAGGCCACTGTTCTAGAAATCCATCGATATGTATATTCATTGAATACATCTTAGTAATTTGGCCACATTGTATTTGTTACTCAGTGTTAAAACAGAATAAATGGTTTCTAATTATAATTACCGTCGGTTCGTTGCTTGTTTCTTCTATCGGTAGATCGGGTTTGACGTTTTCTTTCTGGACGGGATCATTTTCCATGGACTTGGGGGGAGGCGGCGGCGGCGGCGGCGGCGGCGGGTGTATCTTCGCCTTCCTCTCGTTATCTGGCGATAATGCTACTCCTTTCCATTTCTTTAAACCATTTTCTGTAATTAAAATAAATGTTTGTTCGATTTACAAGGATATGTTTGATATGATACTTGCCAAGTCGAAAATAATATAGAATTGAAATCATTATTTATGCATTCGTGTTGTTTCATTCATTATTATTCAGCGCAAAAGTGATGTAACCCTATAAAATGCTTAAAGAATGTGGGATTTAAACTTATGCAAATGCATTTTTATATGTATAGTAACCATATTAAACGACCAATTCAATTTTTTTATACATGAAAATAGCATCCAAAGACATAATAATTACGTACTTTATTATCATTTAAAGTAATATTGTAGAACAAAAATTAAATGTGGGTTATGTTACTTTTGCGCTGACAGCCTAAATATAGCTTCTATTAAACCCGGTCAACTGTACTCAAAGAGAAATTAACATAATTCCATAAATATGTAATTTCTTTTGTTTAATTTTTATCAGTGCACAATCCAATATTAAGTCTTAATTATTTAAAATAGGAAGAACTTACTGTCGTCTTTAAGTCCATCAGAAGTGGCGTCGCTGTTAGTAGAAGTGTGTAACACGGCACTTTGGTAGGCAGGGTTCGCGTGCTTGAATCTAGCTTCATCGCTAGACAGTTCGGCGGGCATCGAAACTGGCTCGTCGGAATCCACAGGGAATGTTGGCTGCGGATACCTCTGCCGATGTATGTCTTCCTGGTACACGTTTGGGGCATCCAGAGCATCGTTGTCTAAGTTATTTAGCTCGTAGCCATGCGGAGGAACTGAAATTGGATTGAATTTTGGTACTCATAACTTATTTGATAATATTTAACATTTGTACACATCGAGTTCTTAGGTTTTCGTGATTGTTACACATAGGAAATGAAACTATTTTTCCGGATTTAAATCGCGTATATTGGTTTTTTCAAACAAACCGACGTTTCGGGCCCTTTACAGGTCCCATGGTCACGGTTGACTGAGGTGGTACAATCTTCAACCAGTTATGTCTAATATTGATGCAAACCACCCTATTTTTTCACTATAGTTACAATAGTTATTAATT